CATTACTTTTCACCCTCAACCCTGGAAATTAATTGCTACTGTCAAAGAACTTAACACAAAAACAGCATTCAACCTGGGAAAGTCTGCCAAGTAAGCACTAGGCAGTTTCACTCTGACGTCAAGTCAATGAAGGCTTCCCTAAGTATGTGACATTGAGCTACATTCTGAAGGTTGATTAGTAATTTAGTTTGCAGATGAAGGGTTGTGTGGGGAGTGTGGGGTCGGGGGGGGGGGGGGGGGAGGGCTGGGTAGGAGGATGGTGGAAGCTAGTGGGGAGGGAAGCTAGAAAAGGAAATTCCAGGCAGGAGGAAGGGCATTTAGAGGTGAGACAACTGTAAACCATTTGGACTGGGAGGAGAATGATGAAAGATAAGATTAAGAGGACAAATTCTTATCTTCTAATCAAGGAGTTTGAATTTTATCTTGCAATATATTTAGGAGTCACCTAATCACTAGGAGAGTATATGTATTTTAATCCACCTAATTTACTAATGTTATCTCTTCCACTCTCAATGAAATATGCCTCTCCTCCCACCCCTCCCACCCCAAACTAAAAATCCAAATTACATTCCTGGGATTCAAGAATAATATTATGGATAGATCCATCTTTTTTTTTTAATGACACACTTAAAAATTTGTTTCTTGGTTTTATTCATTTAGTAACTCATTGTGGTCCTATCTTTCCCCCCATCATAATCATCTTCAAATGAGTAAAGTAACAGCAGTTTCAATTTAGCAACATCGGGAAATAGAAATAAGTCATTATCAAAATCCATAGCTTATTAAAGAGTCTTCAAATATCAGGTGGCTAAGATTTGAGGCTTCTAAGACTCTATAAAAGACAATTCACAAAGACATCTCAGTTGAAAGTTAAGAAAGTCTCACTCCATGATTTTTTTTTAAGTTTCTCTTAGCAATAAATAATTTTTTGAAAAGGGAATTGTGGAGCTGGGTGAAAAAGGTGAAAGGATTAAGACATACAAATTGGTAATTACAAAACAGTCACAGGTATGTAAAGTACAGCATAGGGAATATAGTCAATATTATTGTAATAACTGTGTCTGGTGTCAGAAGGGCACTAGAATGACATAAATGTGTAATCACTGTGTTTAAACTAGTATAATACTGAATGTCCATTGTAATAGAAAAACAACTTAATTGAAAAAAAATAATGGAAAACTTCAAGATAGGTTTCAAATCCAGAGTCTCATAGTCTATCTATATTTGATCCTTAGCAAATTAGAATATTGTCATTTGGTAATTTCGTGGCGAGGGTGCTTCTGCAAAATTTTGTGATGCCAGTGTGTAGAAGAAATCCAAAAGTTAACAATTTATTCAGCGCCCTTTGTTTTCCTGCAAACACTGCCCCCCTAATTCTATAGCTTCCAAGGCTGCACCAAAAGAGGCTTTTAAATATGTGTGTATGTGTGTGCACATGTGTGTACATATGTACACATGTGTGCATACATAAACAAATATATCAATTCTCTTTATATAAATGTATGCCTTATATATTTGTTAAATATTTAATAACATACATTTAATACATACATATAAACTAAAGACTTGGGAAAACTCTGGCTTTTTAGATCTTTACATATAGGTATACTAGAGGCCCAATGCACGAATTCATGCACCGGTGGGGTCCTTCGGCCTGGCCTGTGGGGATAGGGTAGAAACTGGCTCTCCAACATCCCCCAAGGGGTCCCAGATTGCGAGAGGGTGGTCCTCAGGTGATGCACCCCGTAATCGGGCTCCCTCCTCTCTGGTTCCAGGTGTATCACCTGAGAGCCGCAGCAGGGCTGGGATGAGCAGGAGTGGTGCGGTGCCTGGCCTAGGCTCAGGCTCCTCCCCAGCACACTACTACATCCCTCAGGGTATGTTGGACTACTGGTTTTGGCCCAAAGGATCCCAGATTGTGAAAGGGCGCAGGCCAGGCTGAGGGACCCCACCAGTGCACGAATCCGTGCACCAGGCCTCTAGTATATAGATAATTGTTTTTTGGAGGACAAACTAAAGGTAGAGATGATCTCTTTCAACAAAGAAAAATTTCCTAGAACTTGGTTCTAGCACAGTTATTATCAAACATTTTAATATGGAATTTGGGGGAAAGAAAACTCAATGAAACCCATTGCTCTGTGGGTGGCCTGGTACTTTTTCTAGTAGTAAAATACAGCTTTGATGGATTCAAACATCAACAGACCTTTTGCCATTGAGTCACACAAAAATAATAGTAATAATAATTTAAAAAGGAAAAAGAAAAAGGAACAGTCATTAGGCAACTGCATTTAAACACACATACTAGTAAGAGCAACATGACCTGCCTCATATGGGGGGGGGGGGGGGGAGGGAGCGGGCGGATAATAATGGAAGCCAGACTTTGGTGCTGACTCCGGGGAGGGATCTGGCTGCAGTGGGCAGATGGTCCAGTGACAAGCTTAGTCAGCAAGAACCATTTGGGAAACACAGATCCTCTCCGTGAGCAAATCTTTTTGTCATTCCTGGAGAACAGTCACATTCTTTGGCCAAACCACCTTGGAATTAGAATGGAACCGGGCTGATGAAAATTAAGCCCAGTTGATTAAACACTCTGAACTCTGACTCTGACAAGTGATCAGCTTTCACAGCTGAAAACTGGCAGTGGCTAACAGAGATGCTAAGAGATGATGATAGTTACAGCCAACATGGATTTAGTGTTTGTTTTATGTACTGGGCATTGTTTTAAGCCCTTTCCATGCATTAATTCATTTAATTCTCACAACAGCTCTTTGAGGTAAATAACAATATCATCCCCATTTTATACATGAAGAAAATGAGTCACAGAAATGTTTTTGTTTGTGTGTTTTAATAATGCCGATTGTCTTTTAACTAGTAAGTCAGGAAACTAGGTCTCAAACCCAGGAAGCAGACAAGAAACATGAACAAGTCTATAGAAATATGAACAACCAGAAGAGAAGCCATTGTCATAGTCTATAAGAATCTGTTTTAGGAGACACAAATTACAATGAGTCTTGCTTAAGACAGTAGAAGGTATGACTCATGAAAGTCATTATTCAAAGAAGCACAAATGGTAGAATCTTCAATTCTATATCAGCAGGAGATTTAAGGTTTTTATAGATTTGGTGGTCTAGAAATTTGTGTTACTGCCAGTGATAAACTCACATGTTAGCATGACCATACCATTTGAATGGATGGTTGAATGTGAGGAATATATATGTACTTTTGAAATCTCATAGGAAATTTTTTTATGCATAGAGTTTGAGGTCCGGTGATTGCATTTATCCTTTTGGGTTTCATCTGGAGAAAAAGTTTAGATAAATTCCATAATAATATTTTGCTTCAGCTAGATTAGTAAATGCAAGCAACCTAACTGGGAGTGAAAATGCGGAGGAATGGCTTTTGGCATTATCTATTAAGATAATAATGCTACATATCAATTTCTAAATCTTAGTGCATGAAACAATAAAGATTTATTAAAGATTTCTGGGATGGCCTTGACTGAACTTACCTGGGCTTACACATTTTTCTGTGGTCAACAGCGCATTATCTATGTGCCCCTGCTGATCTTAGACAAGCTCACTCAAATGTCTGGGTGGGTGTTTGCCATTGGATGATCTAGTTTGGCCTTGGCTGGAATGGTAGGGATGACTCATCTCTATTTGTAGCTCATCTTCCAGCAGGTCTGGGTGGGCATATTCAAGTAGCTATGCAGAGAAACAAGCTATGCAAAGGAAGCCCCAATGCTTAAAAATATTTTGTATCATTTGCTAATATCTCATTGGTCAAAACAACTTATCTGAGGTCAGACCAAGGGTCAGGTTGAGAGAACTCAACAATACTAAATGACAAAAGAAAAGGATATTGGGAGGAGTAAAGAATTAGAACCATTAGTACAATTAATTTTTAGTAGAACACATTTTTTCTCCCAGAGTATGGGGCGAGGAGGAAAAGGTTCATTTTGGTTTTCAGACTGTAAACTTACAAATTGATATTTGGTTTGTGCTCAGACAAATAAACTAACAAAAAACCCTCCCAGGCATGTTAGTACATTGATCAGGTTTGTTAGGCCAATATGGCTTTTTAAAAATTCATTCATTTTAAAACATGTTTGTAGTAATAACAAGCAGCAATTTTCACAGTCAAGTAAGGATGTGGAGGTGGCGCCAATTCACAAAGAATAATTTTTTGCCCTGTTATGTTTTCAAAAGATTATCATTTTGCAGAGTAATTGCAGAAGAGGGGTTCGTCAGATGTTAGTTTGGGTCACAGTCAGATGTTAGTTTGGGTCACTTTTTCTTAGGAACTAAGTATACATAGTCACTAAGGACCATATTTCTCCCCCCTCCCCGCCCCCCATCATCCATGGTTCGTTTGTTAGGGCCATATCCTTTGGCTATATTTTATCATGTGGGTTCACTTAATATTCAAATCGTTAGTCCCCCTGGGATTCTGACTAGATTTTACTGGGAGATTGGATTGAAAGGGGTTGGATGAACAATCAATTTCCAGTCTTTATGAAATTTTAGGGGATAATTAGAAAAAAATAGCTAATTTGGTTGCAATTAGCAAAATAGCCCCCTTTGTAGAAAGAAGCTCCTAAGTACCTGTTTCCAAAATAGAATTTGACAGTTTCTACAGTGAAAACAGAGTTAATTTGAGGGAGAAATATTTATCCAAACATGAATACTGGTTATGAATGTTTCTAGCGTAACTGGAAGGGGTCGACGCTGGCCTCTTTACTTCTAAGGCAAGTTCACATTCTGCTTCAGCTGATTATTTTTTCAACAATATTTGTCATATGCTTTTATGGTCTGCCAGTACTTTTTTGAAGCCCAGTTAGATCAGCAGCCAACAGAGCTGAGACTAAAAGGGGGCCAAACATCTCTCCAGAAGCAAGACTACTTCAAAAGATATGCGTTACAAAGCCCTACTGTGACTCAAATAATCACTTATTTTTAAGGGGGATTTGCTAATGTAGGATTGGTTTCTTATCTTCCCAGCCCCTAGTGAGCCTTTACTGTGCAAATTCGCTGATGGAGGACAAAAGAAGAGACAGAATCAAAGCAAATACACCCAGAATGGAAGGCCTTGGCCCAGGGAAGGAGAGGTGAGTCCCAACTGGCTTGTGCTCAGAAACTTGGCAGCAGACATCCCTCAGTAGAGGGACAACACAGACGTTTGGGGTCTTGAGGAAATCAGGTCCCATGGAAAAGCAAATGGCTTCTCAGGGGGCAAATGAGCAGGCCTTTGTTAATGTGCTCAGGATAAAATTTCTTGAGAAAGAGATAGGACTTCAACATTGACCTCAGTTCTGCACTACAGTAAGTCGTCTGTCTTTAACTAAACTTGAACCCCATAGGCACCCATAGAAAGACTTATTCACAAGAAGTGATGTGTAATTGTATAATAGCTAAAAACTGAGGGTATGATTACTTAAGAAAATATTGGTGAAATCAACAGTGAGAGTTGAGTGTGTTTTGAAACAAGCAAACAAACATTGAGATTGAGGTGTTCCACTTGCACACGTGTATGTATTTATGCATATTCCCAGATGTTCATAAATGTGTTGATATGTGTTATGTATGTTTATATATCAATGTAAAATATAACATATTCTGTTGGTCAAGGAGAAAGAAAAGTCAATACCCACAGGGTTTTGTTTTTCACAACAAGGAGGAAAGCATGTAACTATTAATTTTCCATTTTCTCTCGTAACACAAAATGGTAGAAAAGCAAGCCTATGGATCCAATTCCACTTGGAATGATTTCTTTTGGTTATTTTTTTCTTGTAAGAAAACAAAGAAAAGGTGTCTGGGCTTCTAAGAGGTCTTTTTATTCTTTGTGAAAGGAATGAAGTTGTTTGAATGACTTGAATAAATGCCATTTTGTACCAAGGCCATAATTTCAACAGAAGAGCTTTATTTAGCATTTCTATTCAAAGCACCTACTTCACCCATTTATCATTTAAGAGGCATCCTATTTGATGCAGCATTTTACACTCTTAGCACTGAGAGGACATTTGTAAGGAAAGAAAAGGGGGGTATTTTTCTCAGCCAATCCTTTAGCCATTTTTCAGTTTCTAAGGCTCAGTTTTGAGCATTTTCATGCAGGTCTCAAAACCCCTCTTAAAGAGTATACTTATATCCAAGTACTGTATAATCTATAACTCATTACCTGAAGACATGAAAAAGAGAATCACCATGGACTGCCTAAAGCTATTTTTAAAAAGGCAAGAGTCCCAATATTCTCAATTTTAGAAAAGCTGAATGACCCATGTGTTTTTAGCGCGCAGTTTAATGGCCAGTGGTTAGCATCGCTGCCCCCAGAAGACAGCTGATTTCTGATAGCGCTCATTTTCACATTCGTCCCATACCAAACATCCAGAGTCTAGAAAGATTCACTTGATCTTTTAAAATTTGGCTGGGTCAAATGCTTGCTGAGTAGAAAGATTTCTGGATCCAAACTGTAACCCAAAAGCCTCACAGCTGAATTAGGTAACTTGGCACTAACGACTGAAAGTTCCATTCTTGTCTTCTCGAGAAGCTATAATGTTACATATGCAGTGCAGAATTGGGATGCCAGGTGCAGCAACACGCTTCGCCTGAGTCTACCTTTCATAGAAACCAAACCAATAAACATAAAAGAAATGCAGGATTAGAGCTGCCACCCTGATACTGTGTACCGAATCTGGGCTTCTGGTTTAGAGTATGATACAAAAGAGCCTGTGTGCTCTTGGCCTGGAAACATTGTGGTGTTCAGTTTAGGACCCAGAGTCCCTTATAATTCAAATGTAGGCTTTAAAAGTATATTCCTAATCTCTGTTTTCAAAAGTTACTTTTTCCTGTTGAAGTATGAAAATCAAGGGACCTTAATAAATTTATCTGTGACCAATACAACTATATTCCAAGGCTGTAGACACATTCAGAGGAAAGAAATCAGAAAAAGAAATGGCATGCACTAAAAATGTGCCTATCAAATATATTGATTTTGAGGTGAGCATGTTAATTTTTATAATTTTATTGTGGTCTTAGAAGTTGACACACCAAGAATGTTGGATAACTTTGTGTGTCCATCACAAAATATTTTGTACCTGCTAGAGTAAAGTGTATTAGTATGATTGATAAAGTATGGCATAATATACATTAATCCCAGATAAGCAGTATTTAATTTTATATACCAGTAAATTCTAATTACTATATTTCATTGTTTCTAAGGCACACATTTTTGTTGTTGTTTTTCCACATTTTCACACTTCTGAAATTGTTTCCCTCATATCATCAATGTCATCATTACAAGATAATTTGTGTTTGCTCCTGTAAGTCACCTAGGTGTATTACCTACATTCTCTGTTTAAGGTCTATGAATTGAAGCTTTAATCAAAGCAAGAGCAGAGGGTCAGATTCTTAGGGGAAATTATTTTTTGTCCCCTTCCTTTATCCAGTGCTAAGATTGAGACCTGCAACTCCCTCAAAGTTCATTTCTGATGGGTAGTGGTGTTTTTCATTTACCTGGTAGCCCTTTGACATCCCAGCTTCATAAGGAGGCCATTTTGGATGTTTGTTTTGCTTGTTTATTTGTTTTGTTATACAGTTGACCTTGAACAACAGGCATTTGAACTTCACAAGTTCACTTACACTGTGTTTTTTATAATATGTTTTTATTGATTCTTAGAAAGAGGAAGGAATAGGGATAGAGAGATCGATGAAAGAGAAACGTCATTGATCAGCTGCCTCCTGCATGCCTCCTACTGGGGATTGAGCCTGCAACCTGGGCATGTACTTTGAACTGGGAATCGAACCAGTGACCTCTTTGTTCATTGGTCATTGCTCAACCACTGAGCCACACCGGCCTGGCTGCACATATTTTTTTTCAATAAGTATAGAGTTGGCCCTTCATATCCCCTGGTTTCCCATCCACAGTTTCAAACAACTGCAGACGAGAAGCAGTTATCAATCTGCAGTTGGGAATCCGCAGATGCTGAGGGCCAACTATATGCATCTTTCTACCCTATTTTATTTCAGGGACTTGAGCTTCTGTGTATTTTGGGGTCTGGTTTGGGGAGGATCTGAACCAATCCCCCATAAAAACTTAGTTAAATTTGGGGGTATTAAAAGTTACATGTGAATTTTCGACTGCATGGGGTTGGCATTCAATCTCTGTGTTGTTCCAGGGTAAACTGTATACGATAATGGTAGACCTTTCAATCATCATTACTTTAGATACAGTGAAGGATCATTTAAATTCTGTGGCTTTTAGAATTTGAGATAATAGCACAAATTGAGGCTGTTTACTTTCCTCCTTTTGAAAATCAGGTAAAAACGTTAGTGTGAAAAGTATTTCTGATGAAATGCTGAAAATACAAAACCATTGGACTGCAAGCATCTAAGGAGTACCTTAAACATGACAATTTATAGGCTAATTAAAATTTTAATTTGTTATATAAATCCATTTTCTTCTGGGTGGCATTTTGATAATAGTTCCTTTAGCATAGTTTAGTGAAATGCATTTTTTTTACCCCAAAAACTCCAATATTGAAAACTTTATACACATATCTTAGTGAGGTTTTGAAACATAAACATATGCTGGGACATATTGTTGTATAAGGAAAACAAAGGGATAGTTTAAAGTTATTATTAGCTTTCAGGCGACAAATGAAGCTCTGAGCAGAATGACTAGAGGTTGGGGCTGTTTGGCCTTTCTTTCCCGGTGCTCCACAGATCTGACTGCTTGTTTTCAAATTCTTGGTCTCAAATAAGTTTTAATACTCTTAAAAGTTATTATTTATTACTTCATTCAAAAGAAATAATAAACCCATCTCACTATCAAAAAAAGTATATTTTGTTGAAAGTACTATATTTTTCAAAGCAGAGACAATTATTTTTGAGAATAATGACACCGCTTTACATTTTTGCAAATCATTTACTGCCTGACTTAGTAAAAGATGACCAGATTTACATATCTGCTTCAGCACATGTGTTACAATATTCTGTTTGCTATAAGCATATGAAGTCTAGCTTATGTAGACATGTCCTTGAGAAAGGCAGGAACTATGGATGTCCCCAAAGGATCTCAAGAACCCTGGGGTGTCAGGAGACCACCTTTTGAGAACCATTGTCCTAGAGAAGCTTGAGCCAAGGACAGGGCTGCTATTCCACATCCATATACCAGGAGAACCAGGCAGCTTGTGGAAATATTAAAATGTACCTGTAGCATTTGGTACATAACTACTGGCAATGATCTATCAGTGCAGCTCCATTGCCCCTTCCACTCTGGTGCCTCCTTGAAGACCTCTCATGATCCAGCAAAAGTGAGGTGCTGGCTGGCACAGCAGGAGTCCCCCGGGATCCTACTTCAGCATTTAGATTCTGATTGGCCAGTGCTTATGCCATACTAGAGGTAAAATGTTTTAAGGTCACTCCTAGCTCAGAAATAGTCTCACTTTGTCATCTCTATGACTCTCAAAATATTACATTGGCCATATATTTGATGTTATCTAACATCATATTCTCGGTTCTTACTTCAGGCAATATGTTGCCCAATTGATCTTGTTAGTGTTCCCCCAAAGGACTAGTCTGGAATCAGGAATGCATAAAACTAGTCCAAAAATATACCAGATACGTGAAGAGAAAATCCTGATGTGTCTTTCTATATAACTTAAGAATATATTTTCAATGACTACCAAAAAACCACCAAGTCTGTTTGTACTCTTTGCCCCAAATGATAGCTGATCAAAAAACACTCAACTATTTTGTAAACATGATTGAATCAAATCAAAGGATGGATGTTTCTATTATGAGAATGAAAGTCTCTAAAATTTTGAAGTTGTTTTACATTGACTCTTGTGTCTATTCTTTGAATTTCCTTCAGAATTTTCAAATATCAGTAAAGGCTAAGTTTCAGATCACAGAAGATAATGCTATTTCTCCAAAATTTTATGCTGGGATATTACCCTTAAATAGTTGAAATGTTATAAACAAATTATTTTCACTGGCTTCAAAACTCTAATCTAGCTTTTATAAAATCTTCCCAAGCCCTATACTAATTGAGTCATTAAATGTCACTGATAATGATTGCTTTGGGAATTGTACTTCCAAGAAATAGTGTTTT